TCTTTCCTCAGGACACCTCACATAAGTAGGCGATGCAGGACCCTCTGACATGCAGACTTGAGTGAGGGCACCAATGTCAATCCGTATATTAAATATTGGTAAAGCTTAATTTCTTTCTGGTTTTTTTTAGATAAAAAATAAATTTCCTTCATGTACTCCAGTGGATCACCTTGTGTACCCCTAGACTGCACAACCCCCACCTTTGGGGACAGCTGCCTACTAGGCTTTGGTCCATGCCAACTGGCATTCTCACCAATAATGCCACCACACAGGACAACTGATGGCAGAGACAAAGGACTGTTCCAAATAGGCAGTCTGACTGCAGCCATGAAGTTTTGGTGGGGAAAAGAGTTTAGCTGTATGTATAAGAGCCAGGGTATGACATTTAGCCTTATAGCCAAAGGACTGTCCTTTTCTATTTTGCAATACAGATAGAGCACCAGCGACTTTAACAAGGCCAGAATCATATCTGTAAAAGGGACAACTTGCATATGCTACTCCTTAAGGCCAGAGCAATAGTACTGGTGGCTGCTTGTTACTTGCACTCACAAAAAAGAAGAGAGTACCTTAAGTTCCATTAGTTCCTGTGTATTAGACGGAGTAGTAAGGGCTTTTTCTGATATTCTCACAAACTCATCACGTAGCCTGAAAAATACATAAAGTAACCAGTTGGGCATGTTTGTTTTGTTTTAATCATCCTCAGACAAATCACATACATTGATAACAGCAAAAATGAAATCAACATTACCTTTAAGAATTAAAAAAAAAAATCAACAGTGGAAACAAAATTAAGTATATTTCAATACACATTTTCTGTTTGAGAGTTACCTCACATTTATGTCTTGATGATCTTCGAACATTTTGGAAACAACTTTTTCACAATGATCTGCGAAAGAGCTCCACAATCAAAGCTGATTCTGAAGCAGGTATGTTTATTACAGCTCTGCAGCGCTGGGTCCAGCAAGGGTCAGGTGCATTAAGGATGCTTGCACCCCAAGCCGCGGTAATTGCCTCCTATTTAAAGCAACAAAATTTATATATTCACGAGATTGCGTCATCGCCTAGTATATATTCAACACTCTGTCCCGCTTCAGATGCAAATTAGATCTCCTCCCCCTTGTGCAGGCACAGTCTTCCTCTTCGGGGGTCTCTTGGTGGTCTTGGGGAGGAAGGAAGAGTTCCTCGATAGTCTTCATCATGATTGTCCTTTTGAACCCACCCTCCAGAACATGCACAGTTCAGGGACACCTGGGCAGTGTCTCCCGCCGCAACTACAGCTCAAGGCAACATCCCCCTCCATGGTCAGGGTCTGTGTGCAAAGACAATTCCTGCCCCATCCCATCTTACCTCAAACAATGAAGCAGTCCTTCAAGTGATAAAGACCCTACTTAAGCCCTGCCAAGGGCAGGGAGTTACACTCTTGTTTCTCCTGATTAGGCAATACCAAAGACAAGGCTAGCTAGCTAATATTGAAGAGACTAAAGCATATCACACATTTCAAAAAGAATATTTTCAGATATTTTCTACTTTCCCATATCAACAAATATTATCTGCTCACGTAAAGCACTTATTAATTCACCACAGTGCAATTCAAACATTCCTAGACGGAGATACTGCAACACAAATATAACAGTTGTCAGAATATTGAATAGATTTTACATATTTTCTCTCATTGTCTTAACCAGAATGTCAGGGATCTCACCTAGGAATTTAGTTAAACCATAAAATGCCTTTAAAACTTTCAAGTGAAGAAGGGAAAGAAAAAGCTACAGTTGCAAATAACTGTTCCTCTGTAGCTGCACATCGAACTTCATACAAGTCTTACTTCTATCGCTTTTTACCTTGACAAATAATCTACTTCCTCAAAAAAGAAGGGCACCTACTGTCTGTAACAGTGAATGTTATGCAGTGAAATGACAGAGTCTGAGATACTTCTAAAAGGTGCTAATCTTGCTTTACTGTTAGAGACACCTGACATTCCTTAGGATTAAAAAGGGACTCTGCCTCCCAGTGAGTCTCCAAACCCCATGCTTTCTTGGACTAGTGGGCAAGTCAGCTTGACTTCCATACACAGAAGCCCTCATGACAGGCCTGTAAATACTAGTTTCTCCAGAACTGACGTTCGCACCAAATGCTAGGAGAGAAACAATTTAAGGAAAACCACTTCAGCCTTCTGAGTTCTTTTTCAGAATGGATGGACAAAGGATTCTTACCACAGAATATCCTTACAGGGACAAAAAAAAAAAAAAACAAAAAAAAAACACACCAAAAAACCCCCCACGGTTCATGTTAAGGATCCTCTCTACACCTTAGATGCTTGGAAGGAATTTAGAGGTGGCTGGACTCACGCTTTCTTACCCCTTCACATCAACTCCAGCATATGAACTGTAAATTTTCAGGACTTTAATTGCAAATGACATGCCACAATCCTAACAAAAATACTTGTGCAAGTATGTCTCTGATGAAATTCACATAAACTGATGTTCATTAAGATGAAATACAATGTTATTGTAAGTAGGCACAAGAGTCATCCTCTATAAACCAGTGTCTTGGTTTGAAAAGACAGGTGTCT